CCCTTAGGAGTTCTACTGCCAGGTTCTATCTTTATCCTGTACTGGATGGGTCGTGGCACTACTCCTGTCGGCGACTCGGTCAAGTCTTTGAACTCTTCCAACAACTTGGCTATGGTTGGATCTAGGGAACTTATTTCTTCCTTGCCCTCAGCGACAGGTCTAACATACACTACAAAGACCTGGTCCTCTAATTGCTCCTTTTTCACTAACCGCGCGAACGTGGGAGCACTGAGACAGCAATGTGCCATCGCGTTGTCTACGCCTGACGCATGAAACAGGCGGGCCGTCTTAACCTCGCCTGACGGACTGGGGAGCCTACACTCATGCTCCCTCAAATGGAGTGTGGCCCCGGCTGCCTCTCCCCAATCCATTCCTAATACTACATCGAAGGGAAGGTCAGGCGTACTTTCGCCTAGAGAAGGATGGGAAGGTGGAGAAAGTCCTCAACACACATTGTGCGGTTGTCTGCGAGGACACTGCCTATAGGGTCTGCCAACTTTTGGACTTTCAATCCTAAGCTCAACTTCTTCAGCGCCTTACGGCTAATATAACTACGGGTGGCCCCTGAGTCTATAAGGGCCCCAACTCTACTTCTAAACACTTCTATGTCTACCAAGACCAGTTGTCCTTTCCTCTCTTTCTTCATCTTGGCCCAGGCTGGTATCCTCTCCTTTAACTCTTCTGCCACACCTGTGAGGGACGTGCCTAAAGAGACGCTAACACAAGCGGTCTTTGGACAGCTAGTTAGGCACGGGCCTGCAACTTCTGCCATGGGCTCATATGGGTTGGGAGTGTCCTATTCGCAGGCGCTCACTGCTCCACATGGCCCTGAAGCAGGGGCAGTTGCAACCCCTACTGGCGGCTGCCTTTTGACTGTTGGGCAGCCCAACGAGCCTGTCTATACTTAGGACAAAATTTTATTACGTGAGTCGGGTCACCACAGAATACGCACTGACCCAAGTTCACTCGTTCCTGCCACAATCGCTGGTCCAAGCCCAAGTCTTCCCAGGGCCTGCCCTGTGGCAAGCCAAGGTGCCATCCTCCTTGAGGTGACCTTCCACCTCGTCACTGTGGGGACCGATTTGAACCTTGGCGATTTGGCGGGGGACCTTGACCCCTACCTCCCGCTTGGCGGTTTCCTTGATCGCCAACCCCCTGCGCGCCCGGTCCTCGGCCTCCCATGGCCTGGCCCCTTTGGCCCTGGCCTCCTCCTCTACCTTGCGGCTTCCCTCCAACCGCGACAGCAGCATAAGACCTCCCCTGTCCCAGGCTACTGTCCTCCTCAAGGCCCCATTCGATCTGGTCATATGGGACCTCATCGGTACCACCTTCCTCTAACGTTGGGATCATGTGATCCTTGGCCTTAACTTGGCCTGAGATGGTACTTCTTCCCTTTTTTTAGGTCCTTGTGCCAGAAAGTGGTAACTGGCAGGGACTTGGACTCATACATGACGACTTCTCAACTTAGAGCATCATAAGTGATGCCGGCCTGTTGAGACTTATCAAAGAAATGCCCCCTCAGGGGCTCTGGCATGGCACGATAAACAATTGGACCAGTTGGGGCTCAGTAACCCCATGGTCTGGGACGGCCACCAGGTCGTCCATGACGCCCTTGAGTGCTCTTGTACTCCTCCACTGTCGCGAGTGGATCGTCTGTAGCTTATCTGAGGCTCTAACGCCTCGCGTTGGGTCAGCAAACCGCTCCTTCAGGAGCTTAAGGAACTGAGAGAGGGGAGTGACTTTGGAGTACGCAACCATGTTGTTCTCACAACCGGCTGCGCGTGCAAGGGACTTAGCGAAACTAGCGGCTTCGTCCTTGAGTGCCTGGAAGGCCACAAGGACTCGCTCTTCTATCAGGATATGTTGTAAGTAAATGTAACTAGTGACACTGGCCTCCCAGTTGTCAAAGTTCTCTTCCTTCTTCCCCCCGTATGCATCTAGAAACTTTAGCTTTACGGGCTCCTTACGGGGTCGACCTTCGCCTTCTGCAGCAGCTATGGCTTTGGCACCCTCTATGGCACCTTCGCAGAACTTCCCTACGTTGTCCCTCAACTGCTTTACTTCGCCCCCAATGTGGGTGACGATCTCGCGCGCAAACTCCCTAAATCCGGACCGCATAGCACTCAAAGCTACATCCCGGCTCCAACTTGCCTAGCGCTCCTCCATCCAGGCCTTGCTCAAGATCTCTATGTAGCCCAATACCTTATCCCGCTTGGCCTTATCAATTGGCTGGGCCAACACCTCCGCTCTACACTCCTGCACCTTTGCCACTGCTGCGGTCATCTTATTCACTTCTTCTCTCCTCCTCCTCTTCTCCCTCTTCATTCTCAACTTCCATTGCAACTTCTGCTCGTCTTCCCTCTCTCTTCGTTCCATAGGATCCGTCATGGCTGCTAGCTCAGCGGCCAATGCGGCCTTCTCATCTTCAGTTACATATGACTCCGCCTCTTCATCTTCTCCCAACGATAAGTTAGCAACCCACTTGCTGATCTTCTTCTCAATCTCAGCGTTTGTGTCCTTCTTCGTGCCACTACTCCCCTCCCTGCTCTCAATCCTCATTCTTTCCTTTTCTTCTTCTGCTGCCGCTTCTTCTTCAGCAGCCTTCTCCTTTTTCTTCATCTCCTCCTCCACTTCCTTCATCTTCGCCGCCCGCTCATCTGCAATAGCCTTTAGCTTCACCTGCTTCTCACGCTCTTTCCTCTCCATATTCTCTTTGACTAAGGCCGCCATCTCTTCTTGCTGCTCTTTGCTATAGGGGCTCGTGACTAACCCACTACGGGTCTCAACCATGGTGACAAGTGTACAACCGGGTTAGTGGTTCCAGACCTAACCACGTAGACTCTGACCCCTGACTGACAAACCTATAGACTCAATCTAAGAACTCACAGAGTCCTGACAAGGACCCTGTCAACTATGGTCTCTAGCCTAGACCTATGCTATGGCTGTCACTACTGAACCAGTGCTGATCTGGAGGCATTTAAGGAGATCCCCCGTAACTCCGCAAGCTTTAACGTCGCAGACAGGACAACGTGATGAGCTTGGTTCTACTTGTGCTTTCAACCCACAACTCAGCCTTTCCGGCCTACTGTGCCACACCGAGCAGCCCGTCGGTCTGTACCGGTCCTTGGGAGGGTTCGTATCCCCCAGGACAATCGAGTCGTCAAACACAGATCCTCAGCCTTACTTGGTCCGGTAGGGGAGTCGTTCAAACAGGCCCTCAATACTTAAAGACTGCCTGTGTTTCAGCCCGCAACTCAGTATTTCAGGCCCACTGTGCCCTACCAACCGTTTCCAGCCGGTCCGCACTGGTCCTTGGGAGGGTTATGCCCCCCTGGAAAGTTGGATCAGCCACAGTCTTAGCCCTACTAACACCGGTAGGGGAGTGGTCAGCAGGCTCCATCCTTCATCCACAGAGTACTATCACCTAGGACAGAAGAGACTCAATGCAGAAAGAATAGACAGACTGACGGGTGTGTGTACATCCACAGGGCAAGTGATAGGCTGAGGGCTTGGCGAGATGTTACCAACTCCAGCTTGGTCAAAGTCTTGGTCAACGCCTTGGTCAACGGCCTTGGTCAACGCCGGTCAATGCTGCTATGACCCTCGGTCAACTCTAGTAATCACCGGTCAACACCTCCGATCAACCCTCTTGGTCAACCCTCCGGTCAGCTATGGCTGCCGGCTCGTCTTCCTCGCCAACCCTCTTCTTCTTCTTCACCTTCCTCGCCTCCTTCCACCCTGCTATCTTCTTCCTCTCTTTCTTCTTTCTTTTTTTTTTTTGATCGGCCTCCTCTTCACCTCTTGGCTATGGTCGCTCCTTCTCCTTCCTCGGTATCTCCTCCTCTGTCCTTCTCCCCCCTGGCTTCGTCACTCCGTGGTACAGGCTCCCCGGCTATGGCCGTCGTCTTCTCCTTCGTGGACTGCGCAACAACTTCACAGGTATCATCTCTCTCTCTCTCTCTCTCTCTCGCCTTAGCGGTGTCTTTAGCGCAGCAAGTACGTGTAACCCAATCTTGTATCGCTCATCTCTCTCTCTCTCTCTCTCTCTCTCTCTCTCTCTCCTTCTTCGTCGTGGTCTTCTTGCAGGTGCGCAGCGGCTTCTTCGTCCTCAGGTCCGCTATGGAGGACTATCACCTTCGGCGGCCACCTCTGTTATGGCGCATCAGGCCCTGCATACGTCACCGCGCATGGAATAGCGGGTACCAGCTCCGATACCAATGCAATCAGACTCGTCTTATTCACACTTTTCATATATGTAAACAACAACGCAGCAAACTGGCGACAAGCGCCCACTCGATACTCAGAGATATGGCTTCTAGATAATAGTTCACTTTCACTGGCTGTGGCGACTCAACGCCCAATCAACTCACTGTTTACACACACTGGATCACCCTGGATATCCCACACATGTCACTCTGAACACTCGAACACACACACACACATGCGCACTACCACCGCAGCAAGTTCAGAGTGCTCAGCACAATAACGAACTGCATGTCTTTGTATCTCTCTCTGTCTCACAACCTTTGTCTCCCACGCATCATGGTATGAAGATGACACAAGAATGAGCCACATGGCACTACGACTGAAGATAACACATGTATTTTTCTATCTCTCTCTACCAACCTCGCAGTCCCACCGACGCAGACACACACACGAATCAAGCAAACTGCACCCCGAACAAAGACAGGCACACGCAGATCGACACACAAAATGAAGCACATCTCGCTACTCCGCGTCATCCTCGGTGTCGTGAGAGCCATCCCCATCTCCACCACAATCTCCACCTGTCAGACGAGCCTCCTCGGCATAGTCACTACCAGACATCTCATCCGAGGTGTTGCCATCATCATTGTCGTCAGGATCGTCGTCGAGCACTCTAGAAGAGACTTTTCGTCTCTCTCCGTCACCTCCCTGAGACCTTGTGCACACACCGCTGGCAATGCCACGTCCAACAGGCAACCGCTCCGAAACATCGGGAGTCTCCGTATCCACATCTGCTAATGCACTCAGCGCCCATGACTGCCGGCACTGTGCGCGGCCTTTGCCTGACCCACGTGGGCGGCCTTGAGGGCGACCAGTACTGACTTTCGATCGTCTGGCAGCTGGCTCACCACCTGCCTCATCCCCCCTCAATTTCCTCTTCCTGCCGGCACGACTCGTCTTTGTATCGTCAATGATAACAGACGGTTGTCGTGCAGGAAGCGGGGGCATGCCCAGTGGACTGATCGCACGAGTGCCAGTCCCGGGAGTGTTAAACGTCCCACGAAACCTAACAAGACTGGAGCCTTGACTCAGCCTACATGGCCCGGGTGACTGCACAGAACAAGGAGGAGGTTGGTGGGGCATGCGTGCTAGACTCTCCGACGATGGTGAACGACTCGTCAAGATGGAGCTGTGTATCCCACCCTGCCTTTCATGACTGGACACGGTGTCCAATGCGCCCCTGCCTCCACTAGAGGCCATCTCCCCTTCTCGCTGGCGCTGTGGTGGCTCCCCGACATGTGCGCCAACATCAACCCGTATAGAGGATTGTGCACCACGAGGGGGCAACGGGGGAATCCCATAGAAAGAGCCTCGACTCAATGTGGTCTCTGGTGTAACGCTCTCTTGCGGGTTAACCCTGCCCCTCTCCTTAGTCCTCTCCTCCGTCATCACACCACCCACATCATGCAGCACGCTCTCACCCACCCTTTCAGCCACCCTCTCGTGGCCCAATCGTTGATCCACACAGACGTCCACCCTGACGTCGAACCTCTGCTCAGCCCTCTGCTCCACTCTACAATCTCTAGACATGTGTGCCCTTTGCTCTGTCCTCTGCTCCACCAATGCCTCCACCCTGTCTCCCCGTCTCTGCTCGGCCCTCTGCTCCACCGTTGGTGTAACGGCATCCCCAACCCTCGGCTCCACACTCCGACCCGCTCTGTGGTATGCACCGTCCCCGACCGTTTGCTGAACACTCTTCTCCAACGTAGATCGTGCACCCTCCTCTCGCCTTTCTTGAACTGTGTCATCGACGGCGCAGTCCACCCTTTGATGCACTGTTTGCACCACAGTTTGTGTCGCCCTCGGATGATCAGCGACCTGCTCTGCCACCTGCTCCACCGTGTTGGTGTCTTCCGTCCTCTGTTGTGGCCTGTCGACCACACTCTGGTCGATCGTCTGGATCCATGAACGTCGTCATAGGAGCGATCTCTGTCCCGCTCAGCATCCTCTCTAGCCAACAACCCCTCAACATCGGTCTGACCTCCCACCCTCTCCCGTAGGGTCCTCAGACTCCTCACTGTGCGGAAACTGCCGCCCACATATGCGTCGAAGTCCTCGTGAGGGTCTAGCCCCGCCCAGTTATCGAGGACATCATGCTGGTCCTCGACAAGGGTCTTCCCTTTGTCCCTCTCTTGCTGCATGTGCTCCACCATCTCACGATGCATCCACACAGCATCCGCCCATGATCGCCGGCATAGCGAGATGCAGACGTGATGCGATCACGACCGTCCTTATGACGGTTCGCTCGAGCGGCTGCCTCCCACTCCTCCTCATCCGCATCGACAGGCAAGACATCTCCACCGTCCACCTCCTCGGGGGGATCCTCAACCATGTCGGCCCACACGTCGATGTAGCGACTCTCAGGCCTCCTGCTAGCGCTGAGAAGCTGCATGTTCCAATGAATGAACACGAGCTTCTCCACACTCGTGGCGGAGAGGTTGTTGCGCCTCTTTGTGTGAATGAAATCATGAGTGGCCCAATTGCGTTCACAAGAACTCGCTGTGGACCACATGTCGAGCACCTTCTTTGCTATTGCCTACAACCTCTGGTGACCGCCGCCGTGAAGCTGCCACCACAATGCTGGGTGCATCGTCTTGCTCGCAGCGTCTCGAACAACAACCTCGTCCCACCAATGAGGACCGTCCACCGGCCAATACCGAGGATCATCACATTGGAAGGTCCATAAATCCTCCCACAAGTCTCCCAGCGCCTTTGACTCCCAACCTCCACCCAACATACAAGAGAAATGATCAAGTGTACTTTGCACGACGGGTGAGCTGCGATTAGACAACAAAGAGATGTCACGTCGACGAGGATCCAACAAGTAAGCTGCTGCGTGTGCCGGCTGCCGCATCATCGCACATCTGTCTGCCACAATGTCGAAGACCACCTTCCTCTCATCCTCCCACAGGCCCAATACATCAATCTTCCTCCACAAGATGGACTCCAAATCCCACAACCCTGGGGGTGATGAACCATCGAAGTCCATGGCCCTCAAGAAGGTGTAGCAGGGCTCCATCACGTCCATCACTTTCTTGACCTGCTGCCACCACCAGTCCGATCTGCAAAGTCTGCGTACCTCCGGCTCGTCCACACGCGCGTCTCCTGCCCATCGTGCATCTCTCCACTGATCAGAGGACACGACCCCATCAAGTACCATCCTCTGCTCATATAGCCTCTCCAGCATCATATATGCAGTCCCGAACCGAGTGTCAGCCGGGCGTGTCAGGTCCA